TCTATCTAGGGCTTCTCTCTGATTGATTGTTTCCTTTGCCGACAGCATTAAAGGAGCTCCTACATCTCCCCAAAAACTCTGCAAATGGGTTTCTGGCTGTGTTCTGTCTTATTATGAGGCTGCTAAATTCCAAGCCCCCTTGTAGAGTTATGGGCCCCTTGTAGCAGATCACAGTCTACATCAGTAGCTCTGTTGAGGAATGTTCCAATAACAGAAATCTGTAGAGGTGCCATGTGGGCTTTGGCTCACATTTTCTCACAGCATTATGCTCTAGTTCACACCTCCAGGACAGAAGCTGCCTTTGGAACAGCTGTTTTTCAAACAATCTTAGATCAAGTTTCTAAGAGGGTACTGCTTGGGAGTCACCTGAAGGAAAGAACCCATAAAGAAATTACTCAGAGAGGTTACTTAACTTGTACAGTAATTGGAGTTCTTTGAGATGTTTATCCCCAAGAGTGCTCCTGTACCTTCCCTTCTTCCCCTCTGCTTTGGAGTCTTGCCTTGAGGAGACATTGCAGTAGAGAAGGAACCGAGAACACCTTATCCAACATTCCCTTTGTGACAAAGTTCCTCCTCTATCTTGGTGGGTCCTGCGCTTATTGGCGGATTTTCTTGCCTCAGAGATTCACCATGTGGGTTGGGGAACAGCCCAGAGACCTTCCCCTCTGGAAGAACCCACAGTCCAGGTCAATTGGGAGGTTTGGGGGAACCCAGGCCCGCCCTCTACTCCAGGTTCCAGCCCAGGGCCCTGTGGACTGCAGCTGTCTATAGTGCCTCCTGTAACAGCTGCATGACAGCTACAACTCCCTGGGCTACTTCCCCATGGCCTCCTCCAAATACCTTCCTTATTCTCACCACAGGACCTTCCTCCTGGTGTCTGATAACGCTTGTGCTCCTCAGTCCTCCAACAGCACACCCTCACCCTCTCCCTCTCCCTCTCCCTCTCCCTCTCAGCTCCTTGCGCCTCTTGCTCCCAGCTACTCACACTCACACCACAAACTGAAGTGAGCTCCTTTTAAAACCCAGGTGCCCTGATTAGCCTGCCTTAATTGATTCTAGCAGCTTCTTCTTAATTGGCTCTAATTAGCCTGCCTGCCTTAACTGGTTCTAGCAGGTTCCTGATTACTCTAGTGGAGCCCCTGCTCTGGTCACTCAGGGAACAGAAAACTACTCATCCAGTGATCAGTATATTTGCTCTCTACCAGACTCCTGTACCCCACTGGTCTGAGTCTGTCACACCTTATATGCCCTTCTTATGGCACACGAGGATAGCTACAGTGCATGTGTGGACTGAACAGGCACTGCTACCAAAAATCTCCTATCAAAGGTGCATGGGGCTTATGTGTACCTGAAGTGAAGTATCCATAGGGACAAACATGTGGAAGAACTCCAGTTATTGTACAAGGTGAGCAACCTCTCCTTCTCATACTGCAGGCATAGGTCAGTCACAAATAGGCCTCTAGCCTCTGCCTCTGGACCATGACTCTTTTCCCTGGTGTAGGATACCATCTAGCTACTATGTTGTGGCTTCCTCCTCTGTTTCTCCTTCATACTTGAACAAAGCTACTTACACTGTCTCTACCTGTTGTGCTGGTTATAGCAATAACATTATGGAAATATGTTTGCAGTGTTGTTGTAGCACACTGTTGGTCCCAGGAGATGAGAGACAAGGTGGGTGCGGTAATACTTTTTATTGGACCAAATTTTTTTGGTGGAAGGGACAATCTTTCGAGCTTCACAGAGTTTGACCTGAGGAAAAGTTCTGTGAAGCTTGAAAGCTTGTCCCTCCTGCCAAAAGAAGTTGGTCTAATAAAAGATATTACCTCACCCAACTTGTCTTTCTCATTATAGAACTATGTCACTTCCAACGCTGGCTAAGCTTGGAAGCAATTAAACAGAAGACACACAGAGACAAATCAGAAAGAGGGAGAAAATAGGATGGGATGAAATGACACACAGTGGAGGAGGGTAGCAGGAATCACAAACTTTACATCCTAAAGGTTGCTTAGGATACAGTCTGTATTGGAGTTATGGTATGATTTCTCATGGTTCCAGGTCCGATCTTTAGATTCCTTGGTGATTGTTTGGATGTATGAGAAAATTCCCTCAAAGTTCAAAGGCTAAAATACTGTCTTTTCAATCAAATAAAGTACTTGTGAGTCTCTCTAAAATGTCTAGAAAGAGCATGATCAATTGTCATTGTCCCATTAAAATGTGCAGTCAAGATAGTGTCTGATAGGAATTTCTTACCATTTCAAGAATAGTAAGTCCCTTGCTATTCTAATTTGTAACCTCATAAAAACCCTAGGAAATCATCTAACTACACAAACTCAATACGTACTCTTTGTTTTGTGCTTGCTTTCATCAACACTTCTTATATGAAATTTGTTTAGGTTATAATAATCCCCTGCCATTTTTTTACCCATTTTGGCTCAGCAAAGATATTAAAACTCTGTCAAAACTCTTACAGTTTGTACACACAAGGGATAAGGAGCCCAGACCTTTCTCTCAAGGTCTATTGGCCTTTTATCCTGTATGAGACCATGGAGGCCCAGGCCTTTTTGTAGGCTGTGGAAGTATTTTACCTTTTTCTTTTGGACTACTTTGACCCAACCCCAGTCTCCTCTCCCTAACACGTACAGCTGGAGAGCTGTACCCCAAGTCTAGAAACCAGACAACAATCATGATGCCATCCAGAGAAGAATGTCCAAGGCAAGAGAGTGCCCTCTACACACATCCCCCACAGGGGATACCAGAGAGGTACAACCTATATCAGTCCCCCTTAAATTATAGGTTTTAATACCGTGGTTAGTAGCTGTTTGGCTCAAATATTTCCCTGCTACCTATTTTGATGTATTTAAATAGAAACCTGTAACACCACATAAATGCGTAATTATTTTGCCTCTGCACAGATTTCTAATTGTTTTGATGTATTTAAAGAAGAAACCTTTAAGCTAATATAAATGTTTAATTGTTTTCCCTTTGGCACTCACGTTAGTGAAAAGCAGATCTACCTACTAATTCCTCAGCAGTCAAATATAATCGTTCTTGATTTTCTAATTGCAGAGCTTTCAAATAAATCAAAGCAGGGGAGGAAAACTTTTAACTGTCCAGTTTTGCTTTTCTGTTGTCCATGTATTTATCTGTGGGCTTTCATATAACATGTTGGGGTAAAGCTCACCTGGTAGTCTTTTATAGCTTTGCTAGTAATGCTGCTTTATGCATTGAGCATTGGAAATCTACACTTCAACTTTGACATCTGAGAGGAGTTTGTTTCTCTTTGTTTGCTCAAGCATGCCGGATGTTGCATACAACTGTGATGGACTGAATTAAAAAGGCAGAGATAAACAGTTTATCAGGAATTAGGAATTACAAGCACGTGATGCTCCATGTGCATGCTGTGGAGGAAAAGTGTTTAATTCCTGAAAGCTCCCTATAAAACAAGAGAGCCAACTACAGAACAATCCTCTCAATGGGAGCTAAGAAAAATAAAAGTTAAAATATTGGGGGAAAGGGGAGTATGAGGTGTGGGAGTGTGAGGGGGGGAGAGTACTGAGTATGTAAGTATGAACGATAAAATTCAAGACGTACTTACAGCCTATCTTTATAACTTTTTCATATAGTTTATTGGGTTGGTGCAATTTTGTTTCACAACTGCCCTACCCAATATACAAGCTACATGTATATAGGGAAAAGAAATACTGATATTTTAGAGCAAAATTGCCTGATAACTCAAGAGATACTAACCACTGGTATTTTGTGTTTTTGTGACTTGACAATAAAAGTGAGCATACCTGTGTAATTTAGTTTGTTCGTAGTGGACTGACATATGGAGATTGTCTACAGAACCTAAACAACCAAGAAAACCCACTGAGGTCTAGCCTACCAGGCCACAGAGATAAGCCACCCTGTATCCCTTTGTCTTCACAGGGAGAAAGCCAGCCCTGCCACTCTACTGTCCCTTTGTACTTGGGGCCACACAGTTCTCTTTTATGGGAGGCCCCTCAGAATTCTTAAAGCACCATGCACATTTCTGGTGCTGTAAAAATAAAATAATAATACCCTAAATCTGTGGCAGTGCTCCTTTGAGAACAGTAGAAGTTATACCAGTAGCTCTCGTTGGCATCAGTAGGAGCTATGTGCATAGCTCAAGGGCAAGATATGGCCCTCGTCTTTTGGGAAGTGAAAATAATTTGAGACTGAACTGTCAAGATCTGAACTCTTATTTGAAATGGAACGTGTTTTAGCATGCCATGTCAAAAAAATCTCTGTGTTGACAGACATGCAGCCTTAAACAATGAAAAGGAAACACACAAAGTGCACAAGCCACCAAATAATTCATATTGCTTCTGATATCTCTCCAACGTACCCCACCAGCCAATTCTTTTCAGATGGCTCAGCACTTTTCTATTTTGAACAAGTGCTTACTGTTGAAGAGGATATTTCTTTTGGAATCCTGTGTTGGGCAGTTATAGCAGAAAGTTGTAATAAATTAGATTTTTTTTTTAAATTAAAAAGAATTGTTTCCCCCCTGTAATTAGTAAAAGAATATTTTAAAGTAATTGAATTACATGCATTGTGGCTTCATTTTTCTCAGTGACGGGCACAGCTATTACAATGAGACTATGTGATCCATTAAAGAAAAATGTTAGGTTTGGATTCAGAGGCTTTTCTTTATTTTTTTTTATTCAATAAAAGCTCCCTTTGAAATCGATGCAAATAATGCCCTAGGGCCCATTCCTTTATACACTGACATATGAGTAACTTTACTCCTGTGACTGGTTCAATGAGACTAGGTAGGTATGTAAAGTACATAAGTGTTTGTAGGATCAGGCCTGTAGTAAGGATTAAAGGAAAACTGAGCAAGGACTTCAAAATATGACCCTGAGTCTTTCTTACCAAGCATTTGGAAAATAGACTTATTGTCCTGATTGACACTGCAGTCCATTTGAAGCAGGAAGTACCTGTGTCTAACTCTGTTTCTTCTCTTTGTCAAGCAGATATTATTTTAAATTTCCGAACAACCTATGTCAGCAAGTCTGGCCAAGTTATATTTGAAGCAAGATCTATTTGTATCCACTATGTGACTACCTGGTTCATCATTGATTTAATTGCTGCACTTCCCTTTGATCTCCTTTATGCTTTTAATGTCACTGTGGTGAGTACTATACTTGCATTCTATTAACAGTGTTTATCTCAAGGGGCCATTTTTGCAAATCAGCTTTTTTTTCAGTGGGGAGGGGGAATTGTTATATTCTCATAAGCAAACTAGGGAAATGTGGTCTAGATTAAATTACTATAAGGGGGGTGCACAACTAGTTGAAAGAACTGGTTGAAAGAGCAGTCATCAACTGTTGGCTGTCAAACTAGGAGGGTATATTTAGTAGGGTCCCTCAAGGGTCAGTCCAGGGTCTGGTACTATTCAATACTTTCATTAATGACTTGGATAATGGAGTGGAGAGTGTGCTTATAAAATTTGCAGAGGACATCAAGCAGAGAGGAGTTGCAAGCACTTTGGCAGACAGGATTAGAATTCAAAGTAACCTTAACAAATTAGAGAATTGATCTGAAATTGACAAGATGAAATTCAGTAAAGACATGCAAAATACTTCAGTTAGGAAGGAAAAATCAAATGCACAACTAAAAAATGGGGAATAACTAGTAGTGCTGAAACTGGCCTGGGTTTATAGACCATAAATTGAATGAGAGTCAACAATCTGATGCAATTGCAAAAAAGGCTAATATTCTGGGGGTATTAACAGTAGTGTCATCTGTAAGACACAGGAGGTGATTGTACCACTATACTCAGCACTGGTGAGGCCTCAGCTGGAGTACTGTGTCTAGTTCTGGGATCACACTTTAGGAAAGATGGGGACAAACTAGAGAGGAAAGCAATAAAAATGATAAAAGGTTTAGAAACCCTGACCTATGTGGAAAGGGAAAAAAAACTGCACATGTTTAGTCTTGAGAGAAGAAAAAAAAAAAAGACCTGAAAACTGTTTTCAAATATCAAGGGATGTTAAAAGAGGACAGTGATCAATTGTTCTCCATGTCCACTGAATGAAGAACAAGAAGTAATGGACTTAATCTGCAGCAAAGAAGATTTAGGTTAAATATTAGGAATAACTTTCTGGAATAGGCTTCCTGAGGAGGTTTTGGAATCCACATTACTGGAGGATTTTAAGAACAGGTTGGACAAACACCTGTCAGGGATGGCTTATGGTTTCTTGGTCCTGCCTCAGCACAGCAGGTGGACTTGATGACCTCTTGAGGTCCTTTCCAATCTTACATTTCTATTATTTGAAATTTGTTTTCTCTTTCAGCACTGTGAAATGTTTTGGCCTAAGGTACTAAAGGGATAAATCAAATGCAGTTGTTGAAATGTATTTAACAGCTCAGCCATAGGCATCAAATTGACAAGAAGCCCATCAGTGGTGCTATTGAATTCAGTGGGACTTCTGGTGGAGCAAGGTGCTACTAAACCAGAGTACAGGGATCAGAATTTGGCCTGTAGGAAATTACTAAGCAGAGCCAAAGTGTCCTCTGACAATGTAACAGTGAGTTGGGCTCTTACCCAAGTGACAAAATGTCAGCCAGACGAAGAAGAATTTTGAGCAGTATTAAAGATAGAATGTGAAGACAAAATAAATTGAGCTTGTGCCTTTTTTGCTTCTTTGTAATGTATAAAGAGAGTGTAAAAATGGTCTTTTCTGAGACTTTTTCCTGTTTGTTTTTAAATGAGAAATTCAGCTCTTTCCTAAACTGCAAGTCTCTATAGCCTTACCAACTTTAGCAAAATTAACCACTGCTGGCAACTGGGGTTAGCAATGGATACATCTGAACTAGATGCTGAAAATGCCTTACTTATCAATGTAGCCAAGGGCAAACTGTGTAAATCATCATCATTTCAGAAGTCCACATGGAAGTTAATGCTCTTCAGATCATCAATTTCTGCCCAGTACCTCTTCCACCATTTCTTTGAGAAGGTGTGTTCCGTACAGATGGAGAGGCTCGGGGGGGAGAAGAGAGCTGGACAGGACCAGGGTGAGGGCCATATCCTCAGCAGAGGGCCTGGTTTCCATAGAATTTGCCTGCAGTTCTTGTGGCAGATTTAGACTCTTTACTTCATACGTGGTTATAAACTTATGCTTAGAGGGGAGCATTCAGCAGAAACTCAATATCTAACTTTGGAAAGATTTTAGCAGAGATTTTCCATTCCTGTGGGTTTTTCACATAAGAGGACTGGGTGCTTAATGCTTAGCATTTTGTAGTTCTTAGGTTTTTGTCCTCCCAGGAATGGACACACACGTCTCTTGTTAGTATTGAGAATTACACATGTAGGTTGAGGGTAGAATAGGTTAGAGAGCAAAACTAGCCAAGCCCATGAAATTAATTTAATTTAATTAATGCATATCTTTTCATGAACAAAAAATAAAATGTAATATAATAAAATACAATATTTACATATTAATTCATAAACAAAATTCAGATTGAAATATCTGTCAATAATCCTCATTATGGTATCTGCCATAAATGAAGAATTTCATTTAATTTATGATGACTTTCACATGTAGCAAAGTTTTATTTAAACTGAATTTGTTGACCCATGTTGGAATCCTCTTCTATAAAATACATTCTTCATTTTTATTCTCTTTTAATTCCCTCTCCTTAGCTAACCTCCCTTCTCAGCCCGTCTGGCATATTAAGAACAGACAGTCTGATGCTTGTGCTGTAATTTTAATCCCAGCTCAGTCAATGGGTCCAGGTTTTCATATCACAGTTTCTACAAATAGTAGGCATACTAGTTCATTAAGCTACCAATCCAGTTTAGCTCAATGCATTATAATTGTGCCAACCAGCATGAATGTCAATGAATTTTATTTCCAGTCAGAAATTTACATTGCAACTTTTTTCTGAATGAGCCATTCCAAAGCCTTTTCTTCAAGGATTATTTAAAAAAAAAGGGAACAAATCACTATTTTAGTCTGTACCATAATCTGAATAAAATGTTTCTTTTAAAACTAGTACTGTTGGCATCAGGGGTTGGGGAGGATCTTTATCATAATGAATTCTGTGGGGAAGAACCATTTTCCAACAATTATTTTTTCTGTTAAAGACGACACAGTAATACAAATGCTATAATAATTTGATTAGTTCAGATCTGTCCTTCCTATCATTCCTTTTATCATTTGTTGCTGTGGACAATATTACAGTAACTAATAACTTAGTAGGCCACTGAAATAGTCCTCCCAGTGATTCTCCATAAGATAGGTAGTGAGCCATAGCTCTGAGCCCTGAGTAAGGGACAGTGTTTAGCTGTGTTGCCCCAGGAAGTAATTGACTCATAGTCACAGCTTCTCAGTTGCTCCGGGGATGAAATAAGATGTTTCATCTTTTTACAAGGTGCAGCTTACGTTTCCACCCTTGTCCTGACCCAGCTCCATTGGCTTGTGCATTGTGGAGCCTGACTCGAGGACTTGTCCACTTACTGGTGGTTGGGGAAGTATCTCCTCCCCACCCTTCACATACCCTTTGCATCAGGGTTGCAAAAAGGGAGTTGTAGGAGCTAGCTGTGTTGACTCTATGCCAGCTGGGGGATGCTGCCATCAGTTAGGGTTATCTCTAGGATGACCAGATAGCAAGTGTGAAAAATCTGGACAGGGGGTTGAGGGTAATAGGCGCCTATCTAAGACAAAGCCTATATAGGACTGTCCCTATAAAATCGGGACATCTGGTCACATTAAGTATCCCCAGCAGGGGAGTTATGGGAGGTTTACTCCCTTTGAACCACCTCAATTGAGCAAAGGAGCATATCATGACAGAGGATTGGCCAGCCTTATCTTCTCATTTAAGTCAGTCTATTCAGATCCTTAATCATATTTGTGGCTCTTCTCTGAATTCTCTCTATTATGCAGTGGCCTTTCTAGTTTTGAGAAACCTAGGACTTTTTAATCTTGTGCACTCACTGTCTCCCCAAACACCTCCATGTTTTTATCCAAGGGCATAAATGCCCCACTGCTTTGCACTTTGTATAGTTATTTACCTCTGTGCAAAATTGGTGTTAAGTGCTACCAAATCAGAAATCTGAATATTACACCAGTAGTAGTATTCTACACTCATTTTGCACACCATTTGTTCTAGGGTAAATGACTATCCCTGGTGCAAGACGAACAGCTACCAGAGTTTCTGTGGGAGTTTGGCCTGAAAAAAGAGAGTAGTGGTTTTGTGTTCAGTGCTGGAGGTGCAGTCCTGATTTTTTTTTCAGTGATTTGTTCTAGATGTCTGGCTTGATTCAGTGTTTGCCGGTATCCCTTAACAAGGGGGAGGAGTTGACCTAGTTTTAAAAGCCTGTCACTAGCAAAAGTTGGAGCAACTAGCAACTAACTGTGGAGTTTCTCTGAGAGAGTAAATGGAAGTTTGGTATGGGTTTCCTCTCCCTGCCCCCCCCCCCCCGGGTTTTTTTTTTTTAAGGAATAAGGTCTAGGAAAAAAATACAATGATGCCTACTGAGGCAGCACTAAAAAGTGACCATAGGAGATACAGAAGATGATTGGATGCAGTAGCTGTAGTATGTATGTTATCCTTGAGTGGGTATCTGATGGAAGCTACTTATTGATGAAATGTTGCCTGATAGAGCTTATGAGAGAAGACCCAAAATAGCTAGTGGTGGTGATATCTAGTTGAGTAAAAGGTTTGTTGCACTGGGGAATGGGGAGGAGAAAAAGGCAAAAGATGGGATATCGAGGAAGAAAAGAAGGGAACCAGTCCCTGAAGAAGAGAGGAAGAGATGATAGAATCAGCCAGGGACTCTGTCTAAATGAGGCTGATGTATGGGGACTGTAGTGTAGACATACCCTAAGGTGTTAACCCAGTGGAGGTGACTGTGATAGGGCGTGACTCACCACAGTGGCACCTCCTGCTGGTCATCCTGAGGATTAGATTAGAGTCAAGAGAATTCCTTCCCAATTTTGTATCAAATTTAGCAACTTCATTTCTCATCCCTAATCTCCTCAGTAGTTCGAGGCACTGAAGCCTGCTATTCTTTCAGCTTATGCTGCCTTTTGCTAAACTCTTGTCTTTGTCATTGCAACAGAAAAGGTTAACCCAGCTAGTCTAAATTGATTAACTGAATGTAGAAATTCAGCTAGCATTGTATTTATGGACAGAGCAAATCTACCCTGGCACAAGTATGAGTGCTGATTCTTCACTTTGTCTTTCTAAATTTATTATAGAGAAAATAAAGCTGACTGCTTTCATCTGAGATCTTTCCATGACAGATTGAACACAATAGAAGAAAAAAACTTGGAATAACTAATGAGAAAATTCAGTGTAATTATACAAGATTTATTATGCTCATGTGCAAATTTATTTTCACATAATTTCAAGATGTGGGTTTTTTTTAGCCCAAGTAGAAAAATGATTTTTTTCTAGACATCATAAAAAGAAATTTTGTATTGTTTCATCTATTGTTTATTATCCAGTAGTGTTCTCTTTTTTTTATAAAAACAAAATGGTCAAAGTTCAGAATTTAGTCACAATTTACGTATGAATGAACATGGAAATCAGCATTTTTTTTAGCAACATGACGACATGCCTGGGGATTTTTTTTTAATCTTCACATAACTTTTGCCATGCTGTAGTTATGGTTATGTCTGAATTTAAGCATCTATATCTCAGCTATATTATCATTATTTGCTTGTATTATAGTACAGGCCCCAATTAGAGGTGAGGGTTTTATTGTGTTAGGCACTGTACATACATATAACAAAAAGGACTGTTCTTGCCCCAAAGATTTTTACAGCTGTCAACCACAGTCCTACAAACACTTACTCACATGCTTAACTTTACAAACATGAGTAATCCCCCTGACTCCTTAGCACATGACAAGAGATGGCTAAAACAAGCAAATGCAAGGAAGGGAGGAGGACATGGGGACAGTGAAATGTTTGTTTGGTATAATAAACAGCAGTCTCAGTATGCAGACAGACTGCCTAGCTGTTGTCAGATATTATTGATTGCAGCGCTGTGTCCTTAAGGAAGGATTTTAAAGGAGGATACTGTAGTGGTTTTGTGGATTTTTCCTCCATTGTATAGAGGGCAGCATGGGAAAAAGAGCGAAAGTTCTTGAGGGACAATTAAAATAATGGGCAATGAAGGCACCGGTAAAAAGTTCAGGGGATAATGAAGCATTCAGTGTAAATCAATATCAAGGATTAGTTGTTAATGTTTTATAGTGGTGCCACATCCATCTATTGGGCCATATTCTGCTGTCAGTAACACCAGTGTAAATTTAAATAGCTTCATTGTCTTCAATGGATTTGCTCAGTTGTAACTAGGAACAGAATAAAGCCCATGGCTGGTTTGGGGTTTCATTAGTCATTCCGAACTTAGCCCAGGTTGCAAACTTGATCAGCCAAACTAGGCCTACTTTTGAGTGAACTGAGCCATTTTATTCAACCTTTTAGAATGTCAACTTTTGTTGATTGAACCAAAAAGCCTTCAGTTCATACTGGGTTAATATACGAAAACAATGGTCAAAAATGAAAAGATTTGCTCATGTTTTTTATAGCACCCATTACAGTAATATACAAATGTTCTGGAAGTACTAGCGGGAGATATGCAGTTTGATTTGTGTTTTTCAGCCAACACAAGACAGACACAGAATGAGTCTTTAAAAATGTGTATATTCCTATGACTACATGAAATAAATGTAAATAGTGATGACAAATGATAAGAAATGTAAGCAGAAGGCCCGGAATATCCTCTGGGTTTGGCAGGAGATTTAAAAGCTTGAGTCAAATTTTCACAATTCCTGGAAGTTATTTGGTTTCTGCATCCATTGAAAAATATAAAATCAGATTAATTCACATTGCATTCTCTGAAGCAAGAAGCTGTATCATGTGGAAATAGTACAAGGACCTTCTCTGAGGCATAATCCCTTATGGAGCTCTCCTTTGCAATGGAGCAATAACTCCTCCCATCTCTGCTCTCTTCCCCAACACAATAGTGTGCTTAAATGACATATCAGAGCTTGTAACATTCTCTCTGGTCTCTGTCCTGCAAAATATCTGTAGCGTGCTCTTGCTTCCAATGCATAAACTACATGCCATGTTTTTATCTAATATCCACCTTAGGAGAAACCGCTCATCCCCTTTTTATCCAGGCTTTAGTTACTGAGTCATTTTTATCCCACATGCAGGGCCAGCTCCAGGCACCAGGATAGCAATGAAGACGGGGGCGGCACGTCCAGCAGTTCGGCGGCAATTTGGCTGCGGGACCGCCACTTCATCTGGGAGCAAAGGACCTCCAGCCGAATTGCTGCCATAGAATGAAGGGGCGCTAGAGCTGCTGCCGAATTGCCGCTGATCCCGTGTTTGCGATCGCGGCTTTTTTTTTTTTTTCCCCTCCCTGCTTGGGGTGGCAACAACGCTAGAGCCGGCTCTGCCCACATGTAATGCTATTGACTTTGGCCCAGTGTGGTTTTTTTAATCATACTGTTTGGCTCTTTGTTAGCAGTAATCAAACACTATTACAAAAATGGGGCAGTTTGTTTCTTCATGTTGGAGCCACGTGAAATTTGGTTAGTTTAGCTCATTTTGTTTTTTGGTTGAGGGGTTTGCCTAAATGCAATACTTAAGTGAAACCCAAGGCCTCGTGCTGCACACAAAGCAAGGCCAAAGATTGATGTCATCTGTGTTTTGAAATCAGTTTGGCAGCAGTCAGATAAACAAAAAATATATACACACACACTCAGTTTTAAAAAAATGTACTGGCTTAGCCACTGTTTGAACTTGTGAATCTAAATCTTAGCTCAACGCATGCACTGAGTAACCAAGTTGTGTGTGCATGTGGCAAGGAAATTTCATAGAACTTGTGTGGGGGAAGAGGACTTCCTTCCACTAAACCACGACTTTGTCTAGTTTATTTCACCAGTGCTGAAAATTCTTTTGCTTCATCTATTTTCCTAGGTGTCCCTTGTCCACCTCCTAAAGACTGTCCGATTGCTGCGTCTTTTACGTCTTCTTCAGAAGCTGGATCGTTATTCCCAGCACAGCACAATTGTCCTCACACTTCTTATGTCTATGTTTGCATTGCTTGCTCACTGGATGGCATGCATTTGGTATGTCATTGGAAAAAAAGAGATGGAAGAGAATAATCCCGTTACTTGGGATGTAGGTAAGAGTCTGTTTTTTACCATATATAAATCACCCAGTGTTTCCTTTCTTGTTGTTAAAGTTTATAATACTGTAGGCTATAAAAGCTAACACTACATGGTATATTTTATCAGCCAGGGCATATTTAATACATGTAAATATTTAAAATTAATTGCCTGATGATTAAGGGATAGGTAATCCCACTGAAATTTGACCCAAAGTGTCCATTCCTCAACCCCATATTTGTTTACCTACAACATGAACATGATTTATATATAAAACAAGATTTTGCATATTTGCTCCTAAGAGGCGAAGTTCTTTTGAGTTTACCTAATTGTAAATTTTTATCTACCTACCTCCAACACAAGACTGTCATTCCTTTAACTGTCTCCTTTTCTTTTTAAAACATAGTGTGTACTTTAATATGTTTTCCATGTATGATGTTTTAAATAATCTATTTTGTTTGGTTTTTCTAGTAATGTTTATTTAAGCACTTTATTATTTTTCTCGAAGCGCATTAAACCAGTGGCAAGGGTTTGTTGCCCAAATCATGTGTCTGATGATGGTATTTAAAACATTCATTAAAAGAGAAACAGTATATGGACAATAACATTTATAGGTATTGGTCCATGTTCATCCCTATGATAATGACATTGAAATCAGGGAGTCACCAGGGATTAATTTGGCCCAGTTTCTGTCATTTAAAGCTGTTCTCTTTCCTGATCTGAAAATGTGAACTCTACTAGCACACAAAAAGTTACAGGAGAGAATGTGAGGAACTAACCATTTCATCACTAGGGTTGGGGAAATGCTTTCTGCCTAAATTTGGACCCACTTGAGGTCAAGCATTTGCAAGTTTGGTGCATATTTCATTATTTTTGAGTTCCTGTTTCACTTGGAATTGAGAAGATATCCAATTTTTAAAAAAGGATTAAACTGGAGCACAGAGTAGGAAGAGTGAAAAACAAAGACTGTGACAAATGAGCAGGGAGGCAGAGTCAATAGAAAAATCCTGATGAAAAGATAAAAACCATGTACCGGCTTCCCTTTAGTTAGATTTTTTTTGTCAAAAAAATTGGAGAATGAGGTTAGAAAAGATTTTAAATTATAGATGGTGGTGGAAGGTCTGAAATTCAAACTACTTCACTGAATCCTGCAAACCAAAACAGTAGCTCATGAGGTTTGCAAACCATGGAAAGCCAGGAGAGGCTTCCAGTTCTTAGTAGCTTCACAATGTAATCAGTAGACCCTGGACTGGCTTCTTTTCTAAAATTCTCCAGTGAAAGGCCTTGTTTGTTTGGGAAGGGTGTGGAATGGGGAGAAGAATATGTCAATGGGGAAGGTCTGTACTTTTCAAGTTAAACCTAAGGGCCAGTTTCCTCAACTGGTTATCTTGTGTTTCTTCTGAGTGATGTTCAAGACTTCTGGAGCTTTTAAAGTTGTATTGGATGGGAACTCTTCCTTCCTTCCCCCCGCCCTAGATTATATTTACGTAGTTATAAGGGTTTGCATCTATGAACTGGGTGATTAACTGACTGTTATATGTGAGTATGAAGAGGTTTGGTAGTTATTGGGTATTACTGCAACTACATCACTCTTTAAGGCAGTAGCTATCACCCTGCAGCTTTCAATGTCATTCTAACTTCACTCTGAATGAGGAACAAAGAAGAATTTCTTCTGCCTTTTTCTTTGCTGGCCAACCATGAGTCACCTCTTTTCTTCACTTCCTTGTTTTTTTTTCTTCCTAGTTGTCTTTTCCTTTGACCTTACATAAAACCTTTTGTTCTTGTCTAGGTGAATAGAAAGAGGGGAGGACAATGGTGAAATTGGTTGGGTCTTGTAAACCCTGTTGATTTTATTTGTTCTGTAAAATACAAAAGGGCTGAATAGAAGCATGTGAGTATTTTAGATGTGTTTTTGTTGTTTGTAAGAAAGGCCTGTTGCCTACTCGACACAATAATCATATCTGATAGAGGAATATAGGACTCATTCCCTTTCAAATGCCTGCTCAGGAAAATGTTTGGTGAGGGAAGTATACAAACAGCAGGGACCAAGAGTACAGAAAAGTTGGCTCTAGCTCAAACATCAGGTCCTTTTCTTGTCTCCTTGCATGTCTCTCCCCCCACCCTTCTTTAAAAGTTGCTGCAAGAGGAATGGCTGATGGGAAAACTAGTGAGAAGGTTAAAAATGCCTGACCTAGAACTAACTGAGGAAGTTGGAGGGAGAAAGTCAGGGAGAGGAACACCTAATCACCGTACCTCTCCAGCTTACCGTGAGGCTACCAAAATCCTGTCTGATTCTCTGTCATGCTTGTCTATTGTTCATGTTTTCTTCCTCTTTGTCATGAATTTGTTTGTAAAAAACGGCTACTGGGGCTGGCTAATGAGCTCCTCACAAAGTGCAGTGCAGAAACCTCACAAAGCTGTAGCAGAAGACCGGGAGATACAAAGAAAGCCCACTGTGTTTGAATTGGCCACACATTCACAGCAGAAAAAAAAATAAGGAAAAAAGTCGTGCTCAACAGGCATATTAAACAGCCTTCCAAGGACATTGTCAGCGGGTTTAGGCTCTAAAAGTTAGTTTATTCAAACACACTTAGCACTGTCTCAGTTACCAGGCAAACTGCCCTCTGATTCCCATTGAGTGCACCCCCCCTACAGTCTCAGGCCATGGGCCATCACTTCATATCAATTATGTGATTCTCCCACTCTGACAGGGTCCTAGGTGGCAGTGTCCAGGTACTAACCACAATTGCCTCAGCTGGCCTGACTAAAGGTATATCTACACTTATGGCGGTGTGTGCAATACACAGACTGCACGCCCAACTAGCGCTGTTATAAATAGACTGTGAGGCACAACTTAGGTGAGTAGAGTGCCCTATACTCCCGAACCCGCAGGGTATATACTCCATACGGCTCTCTACACACCCAAGCAGTCCCTCCCATGTCTACGCCGTTGCAGTGTAGTGTCCTGCTGAGTCCTGCAGCGAAGAGCTGCTGGAGCCTTTCACTGCAGTGTGTAGCAATACACCACAGTGACAAGTGTGGATGCAGCCTGTGGCACGTACCTACATGTGTAGCGTCTGTTGTCTACATGCAGCCATAAATATAGGCATAGCTTTAGGTTCAGCCCCTGCAGTTCTGTGCTCTCTGGGGGCAATGACCATGGTAATTAGAGACCAAACAGCCTCCTTAAAGTAAAATAGCATTTATTTAGAACAGAAGCATTTCTAGAAAACGTAGCATAAAAACAGTATAGCCCACTACACATGTGTCTGGCTTACCAGGTGTTTAACCATCTTCCATGTGGGGACAGAGGAAGAACTAGCTTCCTATACACTGTCCCACAGAGCCTCTTTCTGTCAGCTTGTCTCCCTGTCAGAGCTCACTGATGCTCCCTGGACAGCTCCTGGTGACTCACCACCCTTTGCAGGGATCAACACAACTTTTTAATTCTTTATAACCCTTTTGATCTCTAGACTCCCAGCCTGACAAAAGAGCCGTGTCACTTCCCCCTAGAGACTGGAAGGATGCCACTGTCTTTTAAGTGTGTGCTTCGGTGTTCCTATTTGGGAAGCTATTTTGTTGTCTTCCTGTATAGACCCTATTGAATTCAAGTATTAGAGGCTGCCCTTTTTAGAGCTAGTGGGCCTGGGGCTAGCCCGCTCTGTTCTAGGCGGAGTGCCATTAAGGACCGGTGTTTGGGCCTGGTAGAGGGGATAATCCGACCCAGCAGGGAAGAGGTCAGGTGATACCTATAAAGGTTGAACTGAGGAGGCTTGCTATAGGAAGCAGGTTGGCTCTGGGAGTGGGGTGTGTGGGGGGGGGGGAGATTTTCAGGCAGACAGCCTCTTTGGGGACTGAGGAAGAGCTGCCAGAGGCATGTAAACTCTGGCAAGGAAGCCCTGGATCAGGGGAATTGTGCAGCTGTTGAATTAATGTTGAACTATTTATTTTGGGGATTTTTCTGAAGATTGCCAGCACCACCAGTAAATGAAGCCCAGAGGGGAAAAGGCCTGATCCAGACTCTGGGCATAGAGACAGTTCAGTAGCTTACACAGACACATAATAAACATTCCGTTACCCCCTCAAAGACCAGGTCACATACAGCGTTCATAACATTATTACATATCAGCTTCACATCTGTCACGAGCAGCATTGCCAAGCTTCTCTCCATATGTTATATGTAATAATTTAGTATAAGGGTTTTTAAAAGGAAAACTATTTAAAGTATTAGAATTGTTGGAAAACAATGGGCTCAGAAAGACTCAAACAAGGACTAAGTCACCTTCCATAAAATGTACATCAAATCTCTACCTGAACATATCCATTCTCCATATATTAGAACAGTGGGCTATATTCTGCCCTCAGCCAGATTTGTGTAACCACATTGGTTTTTTTACGCATGCAAGTTATTTGCTGATAAGACAGGATGCTAGATTTTGAGCTCCCTGTGAAATCTGATTAGTGCTAATGTGGCAATGTAGTGCGTTAGTGGTGGTCCTCCCGCTCTGGCTCAGTGGGAAGCTGTCTTGCCTCACTACATCAGTGGACATCGCCCACAGTCAGGAAATTTGTTCAGGGCTCTGCTATCTATGGCTCTGGCCAGTAGTCAGGGCAGTGCAGCAAAAGAGTCTCTGAACCCAGACCTTCAGGCAGGGCGGGGCAACAAACAGTCTGGTTCTGGCCTGTTATCAGGACAGAGAAGCAAAGGGTCAGGCGTCCTAGCTCCGGCAGATGGCTGACAAATGAGGGCCTTTTGGCCTAGAGATGGGAGACTGCCAACCCAGAGGTGGGATGGCAGGGGCTAGGTGGACCTGGGCCCACCCCACTCCACCGGGCCCCAGGCCAGGGCCCTAACAGTGGTGGAGTGTTCCACCACTGGGTCAATGGGGAATCCAGCTGCAATACGCTAACTGCAGGTTAGGCAGCAATGCAGCCAGACTGAGGTCAGCTACCCCTGAGCCACTTCCTACCCTCCTCTCAGGTTGTACTGGATCCATTGAGTGTCCTCCGACTCCTC